TTCATATTTGATCCTGGAGGTGTGAAGGACCCATTGGAGTTTATTGAATGGGAGATGGTGGTGGTGGTGGTGGTCACATGGTCAGATCTTCACTGTAGGATTAATTTGACAATTCAGACTAAGAATAATCTAACAGTTGAGTGTAAGATGGACTGGAATGGGGAGAGACAAGTCAGGGATATCAACTGGCAGTCTATTGAAAAAGTCCAGGTGTGAGGAGACATGGGCCTGCACCAAGGTGGTGGTAGTATAAAAGGAGAGAAGGGGGTATTTTGAAGAGATGTTAGGAGGGTAAAATTGACAGGACTTGGCAACAGATTGCATATAGGAGAGAACAGAGAGTGAAGTCACTCCATCATGCCAAGCCTCTATTTTCTCTCTTTTTTTAAAAATATAGTTAAGATAAGATTGTATGTGGTCTTAAAACAAGCTGAAACAAAGGGGAAGCATGTCAGAGAATCAATCTTGTATCATCTTAGTTGGGTAGCCATGAGGGCTTTCAACATCAGAACTATTAATTTGTCATATAGATTTGTTCTGACCCCAATTTGCTCCTCCTGACCCAGGAAAATTGCTTTGTTCCATGCTATGAGCACAGAAGGCAGAAATCCCTATACTTAAATGACTCGATAAGTGTGACATAGCTTCCAAAATGATACAGAGTAAGGCTCACTTACAGAAATCATGAAACCAATGGGAAATACAAAGAAAGCTAGAAAGATCTTTATGAAATTAATGCAAAGCAAAAAAAAAAAACTAGAAAATGGGAGCCAACTCTAGGAAAAATGGAGACTTGAAGGGAATGATTGTAACAGTTATACTTATTCATTGAAACTAATTAACCTAAATGCAGTTATTAAACTAGTCGAGTTGTTGGTATTGATATGAAATATTAAGTTTTTTAACAAAATATTTAATCAGATAAACTAAATTATGGAACTATATATGGCAAATTGAATCTTATTAAATGTATACATTACTATTAATGACAAACATTTTGAGAAGATACTTGCTTACCAAATAGTATACCATATAATAAAGATTTTTTTCATGTAATCATGAGAAATGTATTTTCTTTATGGAAAAATCACATATACTGAAAAATGATCATTAACCCATTGGGGTAGAACGGTCAGGGCTGCTCACCAGGTAGATGAACAGCCCTGACTCACCCTACTATACCTATTTAGTTAATGAATTGAATAAAATACAAACTTGGGCAGCAAATTCATGTCAAACATTTTACAGCAATCAATATACTTATGTCTTAAAATAAGAGATTATGAGCTTTCCTTACCCAACACTGGGTCCCCTCCACACCCCTCCTCCATTCTTCCCCTGCCCACTTAGGGCAGGAAGCAATTGCAAATCTGTCCCAGACTTGAATTAGCACAGGTTGATGAAAGACAAAGAAAAACAGGCTCTCACATTAAGGCACAGCTCTCTGGGAAATTCAAGGGTTCATTCCTTAGCCTCACAATCACGAAAAGGATTAGGACAAAGATCACCTTCTATCTGCGTTATATTGTAACAGTCTCCTTGCTAATGATGTTCTTGCTTCCATTCTCTCTCTGAGCTCCTATCTCCCTTGCATGCATTCAATCCTGAGTGTTTTTTTTTTTTAATTAGGACACTGTCTTAATCTTTACAGTGAGATATAATCTTACTCTATCACTTCTTCCAATGACTGATGATGCTCTTGACAGGTCTATCCTGTGCTTTCTGCCCTGAGGAGAATGTAGCAATGAGCACTTCCAGTTTTTTTTGCCATAGTTGTTTTCATATTATTTAAGAATTCTTCTCTAGTTTGACTCCCTTTAACCTAGACCTTAAGCTAGATCTATATTTTCTCCTCCCATTCCCCATTATATCACTGCATAAACCATCAAAACCTCATAAACATTTGTTGAATGAAAGAGACAGGAAGTCCAGACAACTTTGGCCTCAACCAGAATGGAAGTTTCCTTTGTCCTTTCCAGTAATGAAAGCTGGAATTACAGATCATTTGAACTAGAAAAACAGATCAGTTTTTTTTTTCACATAAAAGTAAACTAACTAACCATAAACATAAATATAGGAATATATACTTTATGTCTTTGTTTTGTGGAATGTAATCCTATTCATTCAGCAAATGTTAACCTTTGATTCCAGTTCTGGCTGGAGATAGCAGAAATAGCTTAAAATTTTATACATATATACATATTTTTTAAAGACAAAACCTCCTCATTTTACCCAACACCTTCAGCCTCTATGGCTCTAATGTTTCACCAGATTTGATAATAAAATTCCATTGAAAGAATTTCACTCTTTTTATCTCCTTTTCTACTTCTAATGGGGCTTCTCATGACCTTGAATCCCTGAGTAATCAACTCCTGAATAAAACAGTAATCAATAATGTAACTTAAACCTCCCTTTTCAAAAAACAAGTGACCTTTCTTTTGCTAAAAATGAATAGGATATTATCAAAACTGAGGAAACTGAGGCTGAGAGGTTAAATGAATTGCCCAGTACTCTATCCACTTCACCAAGTAATTACCTACTTCTGGGACTATTCTTTGGGACATCCCCAAGGAAGTAAGTCTCAGAAAGAAGAAAACTCATATTTTTGAAAAATGTTGACCATAGCATTATTTGTAATATATATGGAAAAAAACTGGAAACAAATAAATACCCAATAACTAGAAAACAGCTAGTTCATATCCTATATGAACATAATGGAATATTATTGTGCCATGGGGAATGATCATAGATCATAGAGCTGAAAGGGACCTTAGAGGCCATTGAGTACAATTTCCTAATTTTAAAGGTAACGAGACAGAGGATGAAAGGTTTAATGATTTTCCTAAGGTCACAGAGTTAGTAAATACCTGAGGCATGATGTGAGTTTAGGGTAGCTAGGTGGTACAATGCACAGAACTCTGGGCATGGAGTCAGGAAGACCTGAATTCAAGACCCTCACTAGCTGATTGACCCTGGGCAAGTCCCTTAATCCTGTTTGCCTCAGTTTCCTCATCTGTAAAATGAGCTGGAGAAGGAAATGGCAAACCACTCCAATGTCTTTGCCAAGAAAACCACAAATGGGTCACTAAGAGGCAGTCATGGCTGAAACAACTGAACAACAAAATCTTGATTCCACATCTAGTACTTCATCCACTGTACAAATATGAAGAATGCAGAGAAACACAAGAAGATGCAGGTATGTGGCAGGAAGAAAGCAGAACCAAAATAACAATGCATACAATTACCACCATGATACAAATAAATCCAACATTGAGAAATTTAAAAATTCTGGTCTAATGTAGCACTAGTGTTTGGATTATAGTGTCAAAATTAAAGGCAGATCTTTAAGTAGAAATTAGTGTACTGGGTAAATGAAGTTGACTGGTAAGGGGGAAGGGATGCAATTACACTATGACCACAGGACCTCTCCTTTGTAGATTGGAGTCAGAGGAACGTAGGAGGATTAGAAATTGGAACTGGGTGTCAGGGTTTTTTTTTTTTTAAAAGAAGGCAAGGATTAGAGTATAGAAAAAGACTGAGTCAGTTACTTAATTTATCAGAGAGGAGGGAAAGCAGGCTGGAAGCCCATCCCTGACTGCAATAAGGATCTGGATTAGATTCGTTGAACAAGGAGAGGTCTAGGGTCTGGGAAGGGTTAGAGCCTGGGTAAAGCTAGGGCTGACCTGGTTGAAGATTGCAGTGAGAAGAGAGGCAGCAAGGGAAAAAGGTTTCAAAGTGGGGCAGGATGGGGTGGGGGGATGGAAGAGATAATCGCAGATGCAATTGTGATTGCTCCCTTTGCCCTCTTACTTCAGCCTCCTCTGCTAGGGCGTGCCTCCCCTCTCCCAACAACAGGCCTGCTTTGGCTGTTGCCATAGAGCAAGGTGGGGGAGGGAGGGCCTTATTCTTTCCTCTTCTACTCTCAATTTCTGTGGCCAGCAACCCACTTTCCCTCAGCCTCGGCATAGTTGGCCTTCTATTTCAACCCCTAGGGGCTGTAGGAGATTAAGAGCTTCAGGTGCATTCTTTATACCATGATAAGGATGAAACAGCTGTGTCCCTTCTCCCCTCCTGACCCCCTAGCCCTGATAACATTTTTTAGGAAGCGGTTGTTTGGGTTTTTGTTGTGCCAAAACAAAATGCATCGAATAAATTTAAAAAAAATTGTCACTGATTTAAATATATACATTTACATATATACACATATATTTGTACACACAACATATATATATGTATATATGCACACAATACACATATGCACACAATACACATATATATGAGCACACACGTGTGCATATACAGATATATGTACATATATGTATATAGGCGCACCCACATGTGTGTATGTGTTCATACATACATACATACATACATACATACATATAATGTTATCATAACATCCAGGGTAGCTTCCAAGGGTAGCTTCTCTCACTTAATTTTTTATTTCAGAAGTTTGTATGAGTTTCTGTTAATGCAAGATTTATTACTAAGTACAAGTTGTAGACCATAACAACCTAATTAGCTATAGCATAATAAAAAACACAGTGGATTTAGCATCAGAATGATGTTTAAATTCCTGTGCCCCTAGCTGTGTGATTTTGGGCCATGTCCCATAACCTCCCTAAGTTTCATTCTCCTCATCTATAAAATGGCTATAATTATATTTGCATTATCTTCCTCACAAGGTTGTTGTGAGGAAAGTATCTGGTAAATCTTAAGACACCACATAAATTTAAGTCATTATAATGGCTTGAAAGTATGGGCAATTGGTTCTGGATTGGAGTATGGGAGCAAGCTCGTTGACTTCAGAATGTGAACAGTATAGCACATTCAATAGCCACTAATGGAAATGTAATTTTAAAAGTATGTCTAGTTGCAGGTAATTGTATCACCTTTGAATGCAAATTTTGGCACACAACATACTAATTGTCAAACCTGTCTCTGGTGTGAGGAAACAGATACCTCAACCTCATCATAAGCCAAGGGTGAAGATTCTCTACCTTTTGGTTCCTCATTTTTTTCTGTGTTAGACCCATCTTTGGTGGAATCTTTTTGTGTTCCATATTCCTTTTCCATTTTAGCTGCTTCTTCCTTTGTACTGTCTGCTTCTTCATGACTCTTATCTGAAGGAACCATAAGCAAAGAGGTACTGTTATGTCTATAATTCAAGAGCGGCTGTTAACTACTTAAATGGTAACTGTCTGTTGTTATGTGGGATGGTATGAAGTGGAAACCTAGCAATTTTCTATTCAGTTTAATTAATATAGGCAACAAAAACTGGGCAAATCAGGCCTGTGGTGAATTTTGGGAGACTAAAACATCCGGTCTGGATGTTTTTAATTAATTGAAAAAACAGTACAATTCTCTACTGTATAGACACAGCCATTCATTCCAAACCGAACAATCCTAGAGAATCAAACTTTCATGTTCTGAATTTTTAGCAGGCCTTTATTCCTGTGAGTGCTATCTTCTCATTCCTTAATCCTTTCTACATAAGGAACTGAAGGGGGAAATTGGCAGACTAAAAGAGGTCATTCATTGATGTTCGACATCAGTGAAACCTACTAAAAATAGATAAAAATACAAGCATATTCTTTCTAGGAGGTTGAAAAAAAATCACAATCACCACTAACACCACTTGGGAATAGGTCATATGGTGATAACTGTGTAATAAATGCTGTAATAATAGGATCATATAATCTTGGAATTGCAAGGGATTTTAGAGGTTACCTAGATGCATGCATTCCCTGGCAGTCTATCCCTCTTATCCCAAGTCTTTTTTTTTTTTGGTAGGCAATTGGAGTTAAGTGACTTGCCCAGGGTCACACAGTTAGTAACATGACAAATGTTTGGTCTGAGGCAAGATTTGAACTCAGGTCCTCCTGACTTCAGGGCCAGTGCTCTATCCACTGTGCCATCTAGCTGCCCCCCCCCAGTCTTTCAAAAATACAATCTAGTGGTTGCTCATTATTAAACACAGGCCTTTTTCACTAATCTACATGATATTGGTCCTTTTTAACACCATGAAGGAAATAAGAAGAAAAATACCTGGAATGAATCTGTTTTTATTGTCAGCGGCATTTTTATCGAGCTTATTCTTGGTTTGTAGAGCTATTGTTGCATCTAAGTTTTCTGGAAAAAAAAAGTCCCATTTAAAAATTCCAAGTTTTAATTTTAAAAAGCTTGAAAAATCTTTCAAAAAGCAAGCAAACAACCTAATAAAACTGGATAGGGAAGCAGTTGAGTCTGAACTAGATTTTATTTCATAGCATTACGTAATTCTGGAGTTGAAAAGAACCTTAGAGATCTTCCAGTCCAACTTCCCTCCCAATTCTTTTCAGGTGTCCTTCTGACAATATCCCAGGAAGATGCTTATCCAGCTCCACACGTATAGTGTAAATAGCAGGAGACCGTGTCCTTTTCTTCCTTGCGTTCCTTTTATTCTTCAGCACACCATCAGAGTATGATGCCTCATAGTAATACTCATTGGTACTTAAAACTGTCATTGCTCACCAAGACATGAGCACAGAGCCACAGAATAACAGAATCAATTATATCACCCTTGCCTTTTTCCCCTTTGTCCAAATAACTAGGCTATTGTCTCATTCCATCAAGAATCTGGTCGCCTGATTGGTCCTTTGTGACCCTGGAGCATCTGATCTGTTAATATGGTAGTCTAGCTAATATCCATATTCGTTGCTATGCAAACTCTCCAGTATCTCTTCCCACAACAGATTATGTTACATCCCCCTGGGGCAAGGCTGGCATAACCTGTAATAGGGTAATAAATCAGGGAGGGGAAATGGCAATCCCTGCTTGGGGCCAAGGAGTTGAAGATGGAAGAAGAACAACTGGAAACCAGAAAGGAGGGTTAGGTTCATACCAGGTTTCTGCAGAGTGCAGAGTTATGGGAAGAGAGACTGATTGCCTGGCAGAGGTTTAAAGCAGGAGGCAGTAAGAGGGTCCATTTGTGTTTAAGAAGTCAAAATTCATGGACTGCCAAGAAGATAACCATTTGCCTGACTGAACATGATTCACCAAAGCTTCAGGCTTTTTAATGCTGATGCTGGTATTTTGTTTCTGAAAATGCTGATGACCTGGGACACTTGTGGGTAGGGTCCACTAAGCCTCCTTATGATTCAGCCAACTCTGCTGGACCACAGTCATGGATGCCATCTTCCCCCACCTCCATTCAGACTGTGGCAAGACCTCTAATAACTCTGGGTCATGCACATTGTGTGTTAGCTTCTATATCCTGTCTGCAGGCCCATATCCCTGCCAATCTATTTATAATAATAGCTAACATTTATATAGTGCTTACTATGTGCCAGGCACTGTGATAAGTGCTTTATGATTATTGTCTCATTTAATCCTCACAACAACCATGAGAAGTAGGTGCTATTATTGTCCCCATTTTACAGATTAGGAAACTGAGGGAAATGGAAGTTAAGTGACTTGCCCAGAGTCACACAGCTAATAAGTTTAGAGGTGATGTGAAATGGAAATCTATAAAGCTAGAAAATTTCCTTTTAGGAACAAGTAGGTGACTTTAGCTGTGGTGAGAATTCTGGCACAGGGGAGCATCTTATCAAGATATTATCTACCAGGAGCAACTATGTGGCATAGTGGATAGAACACCAGTCCTAGAGTCAGAAAGACCTGAGTTCAAATCTGGCCTCAGATATTTACTAGCTATGTGACCCTGGGCAAGTGACTTAATCCCAGTTGCCTCCCTTCCCTGACAAAAGTCACCTACTGCCATGATAGCACCATACTTCACAAGCCTAGAAATCTAATATTACTATTATGGATAGAGGCAAGTTGGCACAGGTCACAATAAGTTTGATGGACAGTATATTGGATGCCTAGCTTGGGCACAGACTTCACGTAACTGTACCTAATTCTCAGTGTTATGATATAGTTATAGCAACCAGAAGCCACAAATGACAGTGGAGAGCCCTGAACAGAATTGGCTCCTATGGACCATGCCAGATCATTGTGGCAGAGGGAAGAGTACTGTTCACCAAGAATCTCAGGAGGTACGTAGAGGAATGAATGGAGGATGCAGAAGCCCTTCTGATCTTTGGGTGCCAACATTATGATTGCTTAGAGGATGAGAAATAGGGCCTGATTGTATATAGATATTCTGTTGCTTTTGCTGTCAGATTAACTCTGATAGCTCCAGTTCACAGAATTGCAGAATCTTGCCATTGGAATGGACCTGAGAGAGGTCATCTGATCTAATCCATGTGTACCTGAGCAAAATCCTTTCTGTAACATCACTGAAAAGATGCCATGCAGCCTTTGCTTGAAGACTGCTGGCAATGATGAAATCACTGCTTCTTGAGGCATCATCTTCTATGTTTGGACAAGTTCAACTTTTAGGAAGTTCTTCCTTATTGTGAGTGAGCTGAAACCTGTCTCTTTACAACTTCTGTCTAGTTCTTCCCCAGGGGCCAAACAGAGCTGGTCTAATCCCTCTTTCATACGACAACTTTTCAAACTCTTGAAAACACAATTTTGTTCCTCCCCAAATATTCTTGTCTTCAGGCTTGATGATATGGTCTTTTAAATATCCCAGGGTCACCAATAGGAACAACGACAAGCATTATAAAAATTCTTGTGTAGAAAAAATATAGGTTAAATGAGTAGCTCAGAGACATGTAGCTAATAAGCATTTGAGCCAGAAGAAGGAACCATGGTGTAGTTGTACCAGGAGAGAGAGTGGACTATTCTTCCTAATACGTTTCCCAAGTACCTGCTGGGCCACGGCCTGACATCTAAGCCATCTTCCGGTCTACCTGCCTGCCCCCCACCACACCTGGATGGGGCATGGGCTGGAGGAGAGCCAGGAAGTGTAGGCACAACAGTCTCTGGCCTATAGAAAGGAAAAAAGTATTGGCCCCTCCCAACCTTTCCCCTGCCATATAGTTGTGCTGAGGACAAAGTCCTACTGTTTGTCGTGGTTATGGTTCTGACAAATATTTTGGGCAAAACTGTGATTCAACTACAAATCTACCTAACTTTATTACAGTGTTTGGTATACTTTGTAGATTCAAGTCTATTGTAACAAATAGCATTCTTACCAAGGTATGAAACACCTTCTTCTGGAGAAATTGTGCCATATTTAACCATCATCTTCACAAAGTCAATCAATGTCTTCATTATAGTAATCAGCGTTTCTTTCTCTTTAGCCTCTTTCTCTATAGGGAGAAATAATACATAAAAAGGACATAAAAATAAAATGATATAAATCATTGTACAAACAATTAAAATGTGCCTTCATCTTTGATGACCGCTTAAGATTCTCTCATTCATTCACTTACTCATTTAACACATATTTATTATATACCCACTATGTCTAATGCTCTATAGTTAGTGCTGGGAAAAATACAAAAACATGGTACAAAAATATGGTATTGGTCACATCCCACCCCACAACTGGGTCATGTAAAACTTGAATGTTATTTTTCAGGGCATATTATTTCCCATTCAAAAATATTTCATTCTAAGGGGGGGAATGATAGCCGTTATTTGGACCAAAATACTAAATAAGACATAAGATCATATAATTTACTTCTATAAAGAACCATAGCTCATCTAGTCCAAATTGCATCTTCCAGATAAGGTCAAAAAGGTTAATTTATCTGCCCAATGTAGAGGTAATAAGTAGCAGAGCTGGAATTAGAACCCAGTGGGAAGTGGTTCAACTTAATTCAACAACATCCATTAATTAGTTAGTTAATAATTAATATTGCTGATTGTGTACAATATATTGTGCCAGAAGGTATGAGTTAAAAAAGAAAAGAATAAAGAAATAGTCCCAAATCTTAAGAAGCTTACATTCCAGTATAATGTGCTTAAAATCTAGTAGGGGGAACCAAAACATGTATATAGATAAATATAATAGAAATTACAGCACAATGTATATAAGGTGTATAATATGCTATATGGTACAGTATTTTGAAGAAATATTTTATATCACGTTTTGTGAAAAACGTGGTAAGAAGCAGGGGAAGGGGAAAGGAAGAAGCATTTATATAGAATCTTCTGAGTCAGACACTGTGACAGATATTATCTCATTTGAAGATAAGATAAAGTCAGTGAACTACTGGGTTTCACCATTTACCTCTGAATCAAACCAAGTGTTGAAAATAGATGAAATTTTAAAAAACTTTTAAAACGTATAGACAAAGGCAAATAAGAGAGAGAAAGTAAGGGCAAGGGAATGTGGCAGAGGAGCAAGGCAAAGGGCTGTCAATGACAAACTTTAGCTACCTCATCATTTTGCCTATAGCTGCATCTGCATTGGCACATTTCATATCATTGAAACACAGTCTTGGAGGCTGAAGGAATGACCTTCACTGGCAAGTAGTGACTCACCAGGTAAATCGGGATAGGATTTTCAGCTGGGAATCTGCTTCCTAATGCTACACAGTGACTCAGAAATGGGCCAATAAAGATGACAAAGTCCCAGAGACTGCAGCAAGTCTGACTCAGTCTGAACGGTATCACCTACGCCTCAACCTGGAGGTGGAGGAAAAGGGGTATGCTTCAGGAATGAAGTTGAAGGCACATGTTCAGAACGGGTTGTTACTGCGTCCACTGGGTTTGTTCACCTGTTTGTTACCAAGAAGAGGCATGACTGTGTAATGAAAACAAAAGGCACTGAGAAAACATTTTAAAACAGCAGAATGAGTCTAAATATTTCAACAGGGAAAAGTAAGGATGCTAAAAAATGTTGGGGAGAATCTCTTCCACGTGCCTAGTCTGGATAGGATTCACTCAGGTGAAGAAATATATAACATTGACCGAAGGATAAATAAGGCTATATGAGTTGTTGTTGTTGTTTTTGGTGAGGCAATTGGGTTTAAGTGATTTGCCCAGGGTCACACTGCTAGTAAATGTCAAATGTCTGGTCTGAGACCAGATTTGAATTGAGGTCCTCTTGATTCCAGGGGCGATACTCTATCCATCGTGCCACCTACCTGCCCCGTGTGAGTTTTAGCAGTGAGATTGGGGGCAGAGTGAAAGAGTAAAGAAAAGGAACTAGAGGTAGATTTGGGTAAATCTCTAAGGGGGAAGGAAATATATTCTAAGCATTATAGTTTACTATAGAACAAATAGCCTTTAAGTATTGTGTTTAATTTTTAATTTTAATATTTAATTACTAAATTTTAATTTTAATATTTAATTACTAAATAAATATAGTAATATATTAGGTTGATGATGAAACCTTGACTGATAATGACCCAACTAATTTGAATTTTTAATGAAATAGTTTGAGCTAGTGAGAAGGGGTAGGGTATGCTTCCTTTTTAGAAGAGAAAAGTCAAAAGATAATAAAACAAGTTAAAATCAGGCATTTATAAATAAAGTCTATACATTCATAGTAAGAAAAGCAATAAAGAAGTCATCAAAAGCAGTTCTAGAATATTCAGCCTAATCTCCTTTCTCTTGATTCTCTCTAACGCTCTAAGATCCCCGAGGTTGATAATGAGTTGATATGACTTGAGGAACCCAGTGCCTGTGCTATGGTGCTGTTGTTCAGTCCTGACCAACTCTTTGTGACCCCATTTGGATTTTTTTTTTTTGGCAAAGATACTGGAGTGGTTTGTCATTTCCTTCTCCGGCTCTTTTTACAGATGAGGAAACTGAGGCAAATAGGGCTAAGTGACTTGCCCAGGGTCACACAGTTAGGAAGTGTCTGAGGCCAAATTTGCCAGCTGCCCTAGGACATAGTAGACCCATTATACGTGTTTGCTGATTAATTGCAAGATCCTGAGTTACCTAGGGGAAAATTAATCATCTACATAAAATCCTTCCTGATACTCTAGTGCTCTCTCTCAAAAATTTACCTTGCATTTTTTATTTCACATTTGTTTTGTATGTATTTATTGATGCACATGTTTTCTCACCTAATAGATTAAAAGGTCCATGAGGGCAAAGACGGTTTCATTTTTGTCTTTATATCCCCAGCACCTAGCCCAATGCCTGGCACCTAGTAGGAACTAAATAAATGCTCATTGACTGGTTCAAGACAGACTAAATGTTGGCAAATCTTGTGCTCTCTGCAAGCTCTCAGTATATCAGCTACTTGATAGGAAGTGACTGCAGAAGGCTGAAAGCAAGACAGAACATTTTTAGGTTCAATATTTCCATCAAATATGGTAATACTTCAGAATATTTACCTGAGTCAATGCTTTTTAGTAGTGCATAAAAATTTGGGAAATATTGGAGGTCATCAAAATTGTCTTCAGTATAAAGTTTATTTCTTCTTTCCAAGGTGTTCGGTATGGTCCAGGTCTTATGTACTGTATCATCACTTTCTCCATTAGTAAGACCACCTTGAATGGCTGGTTTTATAGTCTACGGTGGCAGTGGGAAATTTCATTAAAAAACAAAACAAAACAAAACAAAACCTCAGATATATTTTGTTAGAATGAATGCAATTGTAACTTGTTTTTCCTTATTATTTGGGCCTTGGTTGTGAAGGGAAAAGTTTTTCCCTTTTTGCCATAACTATAAGAACAACAACAATGATAACGATAATAATAACTAATATTTATGTGGTGTTTTAGGGTTTGTGAAGCTCTTTACATATTAACTCATGTAATCTTCCCAACAACCCCGTGAGGTAGCTGCTATTATTATCCGTACTTTGTGAGTGGGGAAATGGGGACATAGGTAGGCTAAGGGACTGGGACAGAGTCACACAGCTAGTAAGTGTATATGAGGCAGGATTCAAATGCAGGTCTTCTTGACTCTGCTTTGGCTTAGGCATGCTCTGCCTATCTAACAGAATAGACAGTATGGACAGATTAAAACAATATATAAGGTACATAAGTCAAAAGCAAGTAAGGCCTTTATGTTTTTTAAAGGAAAAAAACATCAATAAAACAAAAATACAAACAAGAAAAAAGTTCAGAAAGGGACAAAAATGCAATTTTATTATAACCTTGTTAAAATTAATATACACATTGAGGGGAGGGAACTGAGTCTATATTTTATCCATGTAGTCTGGGCCATGACTCCAGTCGTGGAGTCAGGAGGACCCAAGTTCAAATTTGGCCTCAAACACTAGCTGTGTGACCTTGGACAAGTCATTTAACCCTGTTTGCCTCAGTTTCCTCATCTGTAAAGTGAGAAGGAAATGACAAACCACTCTAGTATCTCTGCCAAGAAAACCCCAAATGGGGTCACAAAGAGTTGGGCACGACTGAAACGACTGAACTACAACAACAATAAGAAATTCCCACTGAGACAGATTGGCATCTGCCCTGCAATTTATAGGACCAGAGAGTGGTCTGCGATCCCTGAGAATGGAAGTGATTTGCCCAGGCCTCACATGGCCAGTATGTGCTAGACACAGGTCTTAAACCCACGGCTTCCTGACTCAGAGGCCAGTTTTCTACTCACTCTGCCAGAGGGGTCTATATGTGGTCCACAACACCCTAGAGTGCTTCCAGAACCAGATTAAAATGCAATTGGGAAATATTTAACAAAATGAATAAAAATAAAATAAAGCATAGATATGTGAAGTTGTGGTTTTCTCAGTCACTATGCATGTGTAGGGATCCTTATACATATGATTCGGCACCCCATTTTTATTTGAATTTTATACCACTGCTCCATACCATGGATGCCTCTTCAATACATATTTTTAAAAAACAAAATGTATGAAATAGAAGTTCATAGTTCAGCCTGGGTAGAGTGCAGGAAGGCTATCGCCCTCTCTGATCAATATGGAATGCCTCCCTTGGGAGTGGTTTTCAGGTGCCCTTTGAAAGATAGGGGGAAGGTGGCAAGCTACAGGGAAAAAGAAGGGATAATTTAGGCCTATGGTACTGTTTTGGGGGAGGCTCAAAGGCAGTTGTAGGATGAACAGATGAAAAATTTCTTTTCCTTTTTTTTTTTTTTAGGCAATTGGAGTTAAGTAGACTTGCCCAGGGTCACACAGCTAGTATGTCAAGTGTTTGGTCTGAGGCCCGATTTGAACTCAGGTCCTCCTGACTTCAGGGTCAGTGTTCTATCCACTGTGCTACCTAGCTGCACCTGAAAAATTTCTTTTCTTTTCTTTTTTTTAAAGACTTAATAACTTTAATCAATACAATAGTTTACCACAATTCCAAAGAACTCATGCTATATAAAGCTATCTACCTCCATATAAAGAATTAATGGACTCATAGTATAGGTTAAAGCTTTTTTTTTTTTCTGCTTTACTTTCCTGGAATATAACGTGGCTAATGTGGAAATGTTTTACACGACTACATATATAATAATGCATATAGTATTTCAAGTCTTTTCAATGGGTGAGGGAGGGGCTGGAGGGAAGGAAGGAATGTAGAAACAAAAATAAAACTAAAATTAAAAAAATTATTCCATTTCTATTATAATAACAAAATCCAAGAGGTAATAATAAAAAGGGAAATTCCATTCCAAAAAACTACAAAATACATAAAATACCTGAGGATCAATTTATCAAAGCATATAAAATACTTGTATAGAATCAATTACAAAGTGCTCTTTTTTTTTTTTGAAAAATTTATTTTCAATAAATATGTTTGCTATGATCATGAGAGGCAGACTAGCACATTGGAGGATTTCTCAGGAAATGAGGCAATCAAGGCATACTGGTAAAGGACCTTAAAAAAAGAGGCGATGGGTTTGGAGCTGATCCCAATGGGAAATTACAGCAGAATTTTAAAGGAGAGGGGCAATATGGTACTGATACCTAAACCAGGCAGAGCCAAAACAGAGAAAGAAAATTATAGACTAATTTCCCTAATGAACATTGATGCAAAAATTTAAATAAAATACTCACAAAAAGATTATAGCAATATATCACAAGGATCATACACTCTGAACAGGTGGGATTTATACCAGGAATACAGGGCTGGTTCAATATTAGGAAAACTATCAGCATAATTGACCATATCAGTAACAACACCAGCAGAAATCATATGATTATCTCAATAGATGCAGAAAAAACTTCTGACAAAATACAGCACTTATTCTTATTAAAAACACTAGAGAGCATAAGAGTAAATGGAGCTTACCTTAAAATGATAAGTAATATTTATCTAAAACCATTAACAAGCATTATCCGTAGTGAGGATAAGCTAGAAGCCTTCTCGATACAATCGAGAATAAAGCAAAGATGCCCATTATCACCTCTATTATTTAATATTGTACTAGAAATGTTAGTTATAGCAATAAGAGAAGAAAAAGAAATTAAAGGAATTAGAATAGGCAATGAAGAAACAAAACTATCACTATGTTAGAAAGTCCTAGAGAATCAACTAAAAATCTACTTGAAATTATTAACAATTTTAGTAAAGTTGTAGGATACAAAATAAACCCCGGTAAATCATCAGCATTTCTATATGTTGCAAATAAAGTCTAGCAGCAAGAGATAGAAAGAGAAATTCCATTTAAAATAAGACATCATAAAATACTTGGGAGTCTACTTGCCAAGAAAAACCCAGGAACTATATGAACACAACTATAAAACACTTTTCACACAAATAAAATCACATCTAAACAATTGGAAAAATATTAATTGCTCATAGGTAGGCTAAGTCAATATAATAACAATGACAATTCTACTTAAATTGGTCTATTTATTCAGAACATACCAATCAAACTATCAAAAAATTATTTTATACAACCAGAAAAAATAATAAAATTCATCTGGAAGAACAAAAGATCAAGGATATCAAGGGAATCAATGAAAAAAAAATGCTAAAGAAGGTGGTCTAGCTGTACCAGATTTCAAACTGTATTATAAAGTGGTAATTTTCAAAACAATCTGGGACTAAGAAATAGAGTGGTGGATCAGTGGAATGGATTAGGTACAAATTACATTATACTAAATGGCCACAATAATCTAGTATATGATAAACCCAAAGATCCAAGCTTTTGGACCAAAAACATATTATTTGATGAAAACTCCTGGGAAAACTGGAAAATAGTATGGCAGAAACTAGGTATAGACCAAGATTTCACACTGCATACCAAGATAAGGTCCAAATGGGTACACGATTTATACCTAAATGATGATACTATAAGTAAATTAAGAGAGCATGGAGTAGTTTATCTGTAAGACTTATGGATAAGGGAAGAACTTAGAACCAAAGGCAATATAGAGAGCATTACAAAATGTAAAATGGATAATTTTGATCATATAAAATTTAAAAGTTTTTGCACAAACAAAACCAATGCAACCAAAATTATAATGAAAGCAGAAAATTGGGGGGAAAATTTGCAATAGGTATCTCTGATAAAGACCTCATTTCTCAAATATATAGAGAATTGAGTCAAATTTATAGAAATAAGAGCCATTCTTCAATTGATAAATGGTCAAAGGATATGAACAGGCAGTTTTCAGACAAAGAAATCAAAATTATCTATAGTCATATAAAAAATGCTCTAAATCACTATTGATTAGAGAAATGCAAATTAAAACAGCTCTGAGGTACTGCCTCACACCAATCATATTGGCCAACATGACAAAACAGGAAAATGCTAAATGTTGGAGAAGATGTGGAAAAATTGGAACACCAATGCACTGTTGGTGGAATTGTGAACTGATCCAACCACTCTGGAGAGCAATTTGGAACTATGTCCAAAGGGCTGTAAAACTATAATACCTTTCATCCAGAAATACCACTTCTAAGTCTATATCCCAAAGACATCCAAAAAAGGGAAAAGGATCTATTTGTACAAATATATTTATAGCAGATCTTTTTTATTTTTTGCACCAAGAATTTTATTTTTTTGAAAAGATATTGTATGCTATCCATCTCCAGAGAAAGAAATGATGGAGTCTGAATGCAGATTGAAGCATACTTTTTCTTTACTTTATTTTTCTTGTTTTTTTTTTTTCTGTGTGTTTTCTTTCACAACATGACTAACATGGAAATATGTTTTGCATGGCTGCACATATATAACCTATAACAAATTGCTTGCCTTCTCGATGTATAGAAAGGGAGGAAGGGAGAGAGAGAGTTTGGAACTCAAAAGATAAAAAAACCCAAATATTAAAAATTGTTTTTATATGCAATTGGAGAAAAATTAAAATATTTTGTTAAAAAAGACATTGTATTGAATTGATATTCTAGTGGGAGGTAAAGCACCAGTTTTCCTCTTTATGAATGAGTTGTTCTACAGAGCAATTAAGCAAGACTGTCAAATATTTTCTACCAGTTAGTTTTAGGTTGTTCTGGCTCAGTGCAAAGGGGCAGAATTTGGACTCAGATTGGAGTTTGAACCCCAACTCTATAATAGATCTTTTTAAAGGCCACTAAAAATTGGAAATTAAAGGGATGCCTATCAACTGGGAAATGACTAAACAAGCTATGGTATGTGGTTATAATGGAATATTATTGTACTATAAGAAATGACAAGAAGGATGATTTCAGAAAAACCTGGCAAGACTTGTATGAACTGATGCATAGTGAAGTGAACAGAAGCAGGAGAACATTGTACACAGTAACAGCAATATTGTTTGATGAAGAGCTGTGAATGACTTAGCTATTAGCAATACAATGATCCCAAGGACTGATGAAGCATACTATCCATTTCCAGAGAAAGAACTGGTATTATTTGGATACAGACTGAAGCCTGCTATTTTCACTTTCATTTTTTTCTTTTACTCCAGTTTTCTTGTATAAAATGACTAATATGGAAATGTTTTATATAATTGCACATGTGTAACCTAGATTTGATTGCTTACCATCTCAGGGAGGGGGTACAGGAAGGAAGGAAGGAAGGACAGAATTTGGAATTCAAAACTTTAAATAAAAATGTCAAAAAAAATAAAGGAGAGGGGCATGATGCTGAACAAAATGTGCAGAGAAGACAACTTGAGTACCATCTGTAGGAGATTCTAAAAGCTGTAAATCTAGCAAGAAGAAGATATAATGGTCTATAAGAGATGGCATGGGTCCAGAGAGAGAGGGGCAGACACAGGAGGTGGGATATGCAACTAAGTGAGATGATTAGGCCACCTATTCAACATATGAAATAAAAGAGAGATAAGTTGAAGACTGATTACATTTTTATGCTTGAGATACATTTACTGTGAGAAGGCGGACAAATCAGTTGGTCAATAAATCAACAAGCATTTATTAAACACCTTATGCATACCAGGCACTGTGTTAAGTATTGGAGATGGTAATGAAATAAAACTAATACTTCTTGAAAAGGGAAATCATTATAATACTTGTATTGGTCATGCTTTCCTTAGATAGCTTTTATTTATTCCCTAAAGGGAAACACTATTTAAATCTTTAAATTTAATGCTATTTCACAATGTACACTGCTAAAAACACTCACCGTTTTCTCTGGGAGGTTTTCAGCATAGTTCTCTGTCCTGCTGGAAGGATAATCAGGTTCCTCCTCATTATTTCTGGCTTCCTTAGAGATTAGCTTCTGTAAGACCTCGGCCACTTCATCTTCCAGTGTGTTTGCTTGACTTTCTGTAATCTGTTACCAAGGTGTTAAAAAGTTTAAAAATGGCCTTCTGAATGAATTTGGGTCAGGCCTGTTAGCCATATCAACAATGGATACAAACTTGAAGGTCTTTTATACTTGAGTATATTAAGGGAAGAAGCCATTTGTGAATTTATACAGGACTAAAAAAATCCCAGGGACATATGCTTGCTTTCATATGTATCTAAAATTTCTCTTAGCACCAATGGCTTCTGAAGCCAATTTAGTTGAAGGGGAAAAGTGGGAATGATAACTCTCGGCTTTTCCTGGGGCTGCCCAGAAGTTGTATTACGCCCTCCCCATTTAGAGCTAGAAGGGACTTTAGAGACAATCAAGTCCAACCTTCTCATTTTACATATTTGCAGAAATTAAAGCAGACAGTTAAAGTGATTTGCCCAGAGTTCCACAGCTAATAAGTGTCTGAGGAAGGATGTAAATTCAAATCTTCCTAATTTCAAGCTCAGTGCTCTATCCATTGAGCAATCTAGCCACCTCTGTCCTTGGAATAGATGTCCTCATAAGCCACGAAAGGCCTTTTCTTTGCAAGGATACTTATGTCTAAAGAGGCTCTTTTCATTCCTAGGAGCATCCTGGTCCCTGTCCCCAGAAGACCTGGGCTCTGAAAATCTCCCTCCTCCAAGGATGAATCATAGCTTAGGGAACCACTTCCCGGCCTGGAAATCTAGAGCCCAGATTGTGAAATGTTCTGTGAAGCCATTGAAGTATCTTCTCTTCTCACGGGGGAATGAGTTATAGCACAGTATGTCCCTTTCCCAGAAAAATATGGACCCAGAAGGCTCCCTCTTTAAGGAAAGAAAGTGATCAAAAAAGGCTAAGCTTTCACCTGCCCCTCTGCCTTGGACTAAACCTGGCCTGGAGGAGCACATCTCTCTGGAAGATCCTTTCCTCCATCTTCTTCTTATTCTGGGATTGACCTGCCAGGAACCTGTAGTCTCTCTCCTTTCCTTACCAACACTTCAACCATGGAGAGGAAAGGCCATGTTGGCACCCAAGCGAAAGGCCCTGATTGTCCTATCTTGATTACGATTCTGTGCTATGGAGCCAAAAAGGAAGAATGAAAATATTCATCTTAATTTTTCTCTTTTCAACTAGAGTGAATCTAGAGGTAATCCTGAGTCTAGAAGGGAAAAATCCTCCCACTGATGTACTCCCACATGCTCCCCAGTCACTAAGCATCCTCACCCTCATTATGCAGCAGCTGGTAAAGTAGTACTGTTATAATCACTGTTCTGATATCATATGTACTCCATCAGAATATATGGTTAACCACTGTAAAAGCAGCATGATCATCGCTTATGGGTAATCATCGACTCAGGACCATACCACATGCCTTTTGTAGACTCCACAGCTTAGAGAATAGGTGGATAGAATGAGACCAGACAATACCAGTTTACCTATGCATGGATTGAGGGAGCATCCTCCCAATCCTGCATAATTGCACATTAGACACACCAGCACCATATCATACCATATTATATCATCATAATAATATATTACCATTATCATTATATTATTGTTATTTAAAAAAAGGATCATAGGATTATAAATTTAGTGATGAAAAGTGTCTTAGAAGTCATCTAGTACAACACTATCATTTTACAGATGAGGAAACTGGAATCTAGAGAGGTTAATCACACTGGGAATCAAAGGATATGGGTTCAAATCCTCTGCTTACTGCTGGCTGCTTACTCAAATCACTTAACCTCTCTAGGGCCTCACTCTCTTCACTGGCAAAATGAGATGGGGTAGACTAGATGGCCTCTTCTATTTCTAAATCTGTGATTCTAATAAGAAAATATTAAGATTGCAGCAAATGAGAAATTTGATCCCCCAAAATTCCTGGAGTAAAGCCCTCTACAGATTTATGAAAAAAGGAGGGAAGAGCGCTTCCTCAAAGAGCAGAATCACCCTGCTAGCAAACTCGTGTTTTCCAAATCTCTTTGGGCAAGAGGCCCAGGACAGAGAGGGGGCAGAGCCAGAGGGAACTTGACTCAAGAAATTATATCTGAACACATCTATCTGACTCCATATGCTCTTATCCTTTCCTCTCTGAGCTAGTTTTTCTGCACACTGATTTTTAGTAGCTATAAAAGCTTTTGTTTTGCAGTAGCATCACTAGGACATGGCATAATCCTGAATGCATCAGGAAGCAGGAAGAGGGCCTTTTATCTCCTCTGTTGCTCCAGGGGCTATTATTACCCTGCAGGAGCCATAAAAGGAGAACCTTAGCAAAAGCTATTAGAACAAATTGTAGAAATATTCCATGAAGTAGATTAAATAATGTCACCAAAATAAGTCAGGGTTTTTTTTATAGTAGGTTCTATTCTTCCCTTTTTGTGTGAAAAGGGGAGACCAGATCTATATCTCACCTCTTATTTTCCCTTCCAATCTGCTCTTCCAGAAGGCTAAGGAGAAAAAAAAACCCTAGCAGTTAGAAATTATTTATTTTAAGTTGTATGATTGGTGGAAATGTTCTATTCAGGGTAGCTTTTTTCCTCTCAGGAATTGTCCCAAAGTGTAATTGTGCAGAAAAATCCCTGTCAACTACCCCGTAGGTAGACACACCTGACTTCATCCTTTTAAGACAACATGAGGGAAAGAAGCTGGGTTATAACGGCCTGCATAGCAATTTACATAAATTATCTCATTTGTTCTTCATAATCATTCTATGGTATAGATTGTTGTTATTCAGTCATGTCTTACTATGACCCCATTTGGAGTTTTCTTGGCAAAGACACTGGAATTGTTTATCATTTCCTCTTATAGCTCATTTTACAGGAGGAACTGAGGCAAACAGGGTTAAGTGACTTAGCTAGGGTCACACATCTAGTAAGTGTCTGAAGACAGATTTGAACTTAGAAAGATGAGTCTACCTGACTCCAGGTCTCATATGCTACACTGTATCCACTGCATCACCTTGCTGTCCCAGGGTACAGGTACCATATATAGGTACTATATATAGGTCCTATAGGGTATAGGGTATTATCCCCATTTTAAGAGATGAGGAGATTGAGGTTTAGAGAGAGTAGGTGATTTCTCTATACTCATACAGATAATGAATATCAAAGGTGGGATTCAAATTCAGTTTTCTCCTGACTTCAAGTATGGTGTCTTTGCCATTACCCCAGGTGGACTTTCCAGCGTTAACACTAGAAATCTGTTCTGAAATCGTTATGTTACTAGCTTTGGGTTTCTAGGTCTGAATCAGACCATCTTCTAACTCTAGATGATGCTGATATCCCAGGGGGCTCTAACTCCAATTAAAACCAGAGCAGAGATGCCTCCCTTTGCTATGTCTAGGCTTTATCTAACTTCACTGTTTAAATACGTCTGGTTGGGTCAGATGTATTCTTAAGACCATATGGCAGGGCAGGAAAGCAGAGCTTTCTATAAAGAAATCCCACTCACTAGGCCTGCTACAGATTTGTGTGTGCCACTGATTTCTCTACCTAGCCACATATGTGATCCTTCACTTCACGTGGCCCACTTCTCAGCTTTATTTTTCTCTACGGAATATTCCATCTCCCACTTCTGTTTTTCCCCAGGCTACCCCTCATGCCTGGAACACCTTCCCTCCTTATTTCTGATACCTAAAATTCCTGGCTTGCTTTAAGCCTTGGTTAAATGTTCCCTCCTTCAAGGGAGTGGCCATCTTGGTTCCCACTTGTTAGTACTCTCCTCCCCTAATTGTTTTTTGTTTATTTTGCATATGTCTTGTATTTATTAATCTGTGAACTTGTAGAATGCAAGCTCCGTGAGGGCAGGGATGAGCATACTTTTGTGTTGGTATCCCCAGCTCTTTGCAGGGATTTAAAAAATACCTTGTTCATTGATCGGCTGAACTGGGAGGGAGCTGCAGAAGATGCTGATTTTACAGCTATTTCACTTACATATTCCTGTCAAACTGAGAGATATTCTAATCCTGGAATAAGGCTAAAACTGTGCTAATTCTCAGAGTAAATTTCTCCTTCACAAGATTCTAGATTTGAATATTACGACAAAAACATATTGAACCCACCATGCACTTAGTAATGTGTAAAACAGATAAAATAGGACTCAGAACATAGGACATTCCCTTTGAGAATACTCTTCCTATTTTCCTGGTGAGTCATGACTTGCTATTGAAGGTCATTCCTTCAGCCTTCAGGACTGTGTTTCAATCTTGTCAAATGTCCCAATGCAGATACAGCTTTTGTCAAAATGAAATCCGAATTTTGTCACTGATAGCCCTTTGTCATGCTCCCTTGCCACATCCTTTGTTTTTACCTTCCTCCTCTCCTCTCCTTCAGGCAGGTGTCAAAGAGGACAGAACACTGGGTCTGGAGTCAGGAAAGACCTGATTTCAAGTCTCACCTCAGATACTTACTAGCTATGTGACCCTGGGCAAGTCACTTAACCACTGTTTTCATGGTTGTTGTAAGAAGCTGCCTAGGTGGCACAGTGGATAGAGCATTGGCCCTGGAGTCAGGAGGACCTGAGTTTAAATCTGACCTCAGACACTTGACACTAGCTGTGTGACCCTGGGCAAGTCACTTAACCCCCATTGCCTCACAAAAAAAAAGAATCAAATGAAATAATATTTGTAAAAGTGTTTAGTACAGTGCTTAGCACACAGTAAGTGCCACATAAATGTTTATTCTCTTCCTCACACTTATTTACAAGGAAAAATGCTTTTAAAAAGTTTTATTTATTTTCACCAATTAAATTTTACTCAGAGAGGTAAATGGAGGAGACCTGTAACTTACTGTCTTTCTAACCATGAACATCTAAGTTTTACTCATAAAATGTACCATAAGACATTTCATTAAAACATTTTTTCCTTTTTGGTGAGGCTATCAGAGTTAAGTGCACCATCTAGCTGGCCCGGAAACATTTTTTTTGTTCTTAACCTATGGTTTCACTGGTGTAGGGAACTCCCATTAAGGAAATTCTCTCTGCTCCTGCAGATCATTAAGCAATTCATTTGTAACAGAATTATAGAGAGACACCTGGGGCACTACAGCTGTTACGTATAACACACAGGTAACCCCATTCCATTCACTTCCCTCCAGATTTTCAGCTCCAACATGTTATAACTCTGTCAACATATGCAAGGAGGCTGAATCAGAGAGTATCATGGCTAACTATAAACTTTGATTCCCCACAAAAAAAGCAACTCAAACTGCATGTGATACAAGCACCACATTTTTAGGTTTACTATCTAATTTCTATTAGATCCAGATTAATACGCGAGCCCTAGGTACATTCAGTAGGAAGAGCACTGGCTCTCAAAATTGGGCTCTATCATCATGTGTCCTTGTTGAAGTTATTTATCAATTCTGGGCCTCAGTTTCCTTATCTTTCTATGCTCCATATTTTCTAAATACTAGAGCATATAAGAAGGATAAGGTATGGTTTCAAGAAGGCCTGAAACCATTCCATTCACTTGTAGAGAAGTGAAGTTGTTAAAAATACAGTGCCACAATGTTATTGTGCTGTAAAAAATGATGTGTGTGGTGAATACAGAGAACCATGGAAAGATGTATATGAACAGATGCAGAGTTAAGTACAGATAAGAAAATAACATACACAGTAACAAAAACAGAAATAGAAAGAATGACACACCAAAAATTAAAAGTAAATATAAAAAATTATAAAGAACAAATGGGACTCAAATGAAGAGATATAGTAAGACACTCCCAACCTACCCCTTCATGGAGGCAAGAGGTCCACAGGTGTTACACAATGCACATGTTTTTTGACTTTTTCAACATAGCAATTAGTTGTACTGACTTTTTTTTCCTCTTCAAAAATACTATTTATTATATGAAATACCTCTCTGGGAGAGGTGAAGGGAGAAGGAGGGATATATGGGATACTCTGGTAATGTATGAAAGAGAAAATATCAATAGAAATTTATTTTTTTAAAGAAAAAAGATAAAATAAAAAGCATTGTAATTAGAATTAAAAAAACACCACAGTTGTGTGATCTTATGGGGATCATGCAAACTTTTCTGGGCCTCAATTTCTTCATAAAATGAGGGGGTTGGACTAGATAAGAGATGTCAAACTTGCAGGCAGCCACAAAACTCCCAGGGAACTGAACAAGATTAAAATGTAATTGGGAAATTAGAAAAATGCAATACAACATAGATAATGTAAATTTCTGGTTTTCTAAACCAATATGTGACTCACAGCGCTTCTAACTGAATTTGACACCACTGGATTAGACTATCCCTAAAGTCCTTTCTAGCTCTAAAGCCCATGGTCCCACTTCTGGCAAGCACCCTTGGAGTATTTCCATAGAGAGACACTGTGAGGCTTTGCTTCAACCATGGACCACACAAGTACCCAGTATCATACAGAAGTAAGGGGATTTTGTAACCCTAGCAAGGATAGAGTCCTGTAAGAAAATAGATCAATGCTAGCGGAGGCTATTACTCCGATGAAGGGGATGAAAAATAAAAGAGCAACCACTTGGCTTGCTGTTGTGGCTAACTTCAAGCAAGTTAAACATTTAGTTGACTTACCAAGCCAAGATTCAGAAGTTTAGAAACAATTTTATCGAATACTCCTCTGTCATTTTCCTCATAAATTCTGGTGGCTATCTTCTGGACAATGTCTTCAGCAGTTAAAGGAGTTCCATCCAGTTGATGAAGGCCATCTGGATCATCTAGAATAAGTATAATTGGGTTACCTGCTCATCATTGATTTTTGTTGAATATTTTTACAATCTGTAGAGATCAGCAGTATAGCAGATAGAAGGGCAGCCTTAAGAGCTAGAAAGACCAGAGGTCAAGTCCTGATTCAAACACAAATTGGCTATGTGGCCATTGGCAAGTGACTTAACCTCTTAGCACCCAAGGCATCTCTCCAAGCCTGTAAGAGATGCAGCATGGAGTAGTGGAAAGAACCCTGGATTGTTAGTTCCTATAAGAGGACTAGAGTTTGTATCCTAGCTCGGCTATTTGTTACCTGTATGATGTTGAACAAGTCATTTCACCTCTCTGGGTCTCAGTTTCCTTATCTCTAAAATGAAGGGGTTGGACTAGGTGATCTGGCTATCTTAATAAAGTTAATGCTTTGCATATGTAGAAGAAATTTCCACTGGTTTTGCAGTTAGAGGATCTAGGCTCAAAGTTTACCTCTGTCACTACCTACGTGGGTGACCTTGGGAAAGTCACCACCTCTCTGGGCCTCAAACTCCTCAACTATAAAATGATGAGATGGTCTCTAAGGTCCCTTCCAGCTCTAAATCTACACTCTTAAGCTCCTAACATGCAATCTATACAGCAAGAAATGCAAATACATACCCCTGGATTTACTGGGGAAAATGTGACTGTATTTCTTTAGGGCCAATGCTGGGGAGACAGAACTCTAATAGCAAGGGGAAGGTTGCTGTCAATGAGGCATTGCACCAGATTCCCTGGAGATCTGCCAGGCATCACTTGCTTATTTTCATTCTATGCCACGAGAAGTACATCAAGCTTATAAGGCACTTGGCTCTTTATGTCACCCTAAGGCTAATCTCATGCAGGTTTTTATGCCTGAAATCTAAGAAATGGAGTTTCTGTTCCAGGATACTAAATAACTCTCCGGTAATTTACTCCCTAGCTAGTTCTGTCCAAATAACTTTCATAATGTTCTTATAAGGTTAGGAGGTCGGAGTATTATTATTCTGACGCTGCTCTTTACATTCACATCTTCTAGGTGAACAAAAGGAGAAATTCCTCTCTCCATTCCCTTTCTGGATTCCCTGGAGCTAGTGACCTCTTTAGCCTCTGGCAAAACAACTTCTTTGTGCTGCTTCAAAAGAAACATGAAAAAATAATGGGGTGAGAAGTACAGGAGGCAGCCAGGTACAATCGTTTAGATTCACATATATGGTTTAGTTCAGCACTGTGGACCAGGGCAATGGATAGACTACAACCCCCTAAGAAAAAGTCTTTTGAGTTGTTTTCATAAACCTAATATGGCTCAGGCTTATCATATCTTTTTTGGGGGGGCAACTGGGGTTAAGTGACTTGCCCAGGGTCATACAACTAGTAAGTGTCTAAAGCTAAATTTGAACTGAGGCTCCAGGACCAGTGCTGTCTCCAGTGCATCACCTAGCTGCTCCCTTACCAGATCTTTTGACAATTTAAAGTATCCTTAATTTTTTGGTGGGGGTTCTCCTTCCACCAAACCCTCTATACCTTTTAGTCCTTTTACAGGTGCACAAATTAACTCTTGCTTAACTCCAAGTGTTCTATCTGTAGGCTTGTTGTAAACATTTGAAGAGAAGTCCTGCATAGATTTAATCAGGGAATGGGAAAAAATATTTTGCTTTCTTCTCTTTCCCTTAGGATCTACAGAAGAAAGGTTGTTTTCTATAGCTGGAGAGAGCAGGATGATTATTTTTGTTTTTTAGTTTGCTTACTTCTTCTCCTTCCAATAGGGAGGATGCTAGCAATGCACAGAGGGGAAGAAACATCTTTTCTCCTTCCCACTTCAATATTCCCCTGAGCTTTTTATTAGCAGCTACAAAAGCTACTGGAAGAATTTTGTTAGTATGGTCCTCGCCAGAAAAAATGCTAGGTACAGACGTGTGAACAGAACTGCTGCTTATATGTGGTTCCACCTTTGACAATCTGACCAAAACTTTGAGCAGAATAGCAACATATAGGATCATTCATCCATATGTGCAAAAGTGGTTATTTCTCCTTTCTCTTATATGGTCCCAAAGGGAAGACAAGTGTAGGAGATCAGATGAAAAATCATAACTTAAGAGCTAGAAGAGAACTCAAAGGCCATTTAGTTTAACCCCTTTATCTTATAGTTTAGGAAATTGAGAACCATATCATGTTAAGTGACTTGGCTAAGGTCACATTGGTAAAACATGTTGGAGACAAGATTCTAATTAAAAATCAGTCTCACCTCTTCTTAGGTTTTATCAAGTACCCACTGCATGATGACTTCATGGTAAAAGGATATAGCTACTATGTCCATATCCCCAAGTCTTCCAGGGTCCTATAGTCATTTGTTAGTCATTTTGATTATCTCAGGGTCAGAGTAATAATTTTTCCTCTTCAAAATAAGATCTTTGAAAAAAAATTTCATTGCTTCTCCAGCAGTGGAAGTGTATCAGAATCACTCTCATAATTCATTCTCCTCAAACATGATGAAAAGTTAGAGGCTGTCCCTAGTATATAACTGTCCCTTGTCCCCTCTCAGGCCCATTTAGGTTATTCCAGATATGACTATATAAAATCCAATCCAACAAGGATTAGAGATGGAGACAAACACACATATATGCTTGGACTAGATGACCCCTTAAAGTCCCTTCCAAATGTAAATTTTTCTAACTACAATATATCTATCTATCAATAGATACAGAGGTACAGGTTATATGTATTATATATAGATATCTATTTATATAGATTATATAGACATATCTATCTCCTATTATCATCATACTAGATGGTAAATCCTTTGAAACTAAGCTTATTTCTATTTACTTAGAAAATGTTAAGTGATATAAAATTAAATTGTCCATAGTTATATAACAAGTCAGTGGCCAACTTAGGAATGCAATGTGTGACTAGTCTTCATGCACAACTGGTTAAAATGACTAGTCAATTGAGTCAAACAATCTTTTGCCTGAATTGGTCAATTTCATCAAAATGATTGAATCAGTTATGTGTAGACATATTTGCAGTCTACTGACTCCAAGTCCAGTACTTGGAATCACAAATTAAGAAAGGAAATTTGAAAAGAAACTACATTTTCTAGATTAGCCATCAGTTTTAAGGATAAAGCAAAATATAGGTTCCTCATCTAGACCACCCTTCAGGTTATGTTGCTTTATTAAAAAGTAAATTTAATTAGTAGCTGACTTTTAGCAATGGCTCATAGATTTACAAACTAGAAATAATGAGCTTAATTCTCCTGTGGTCAGGGAGTAGGATAAGGACACAAGAGAAGAATATTAGGCATTCTTAGGCACCCATACAGAGAATGAAAGACCAAATCTCTTCCTGTAGGCACATACATACCATGACCATACCTAAGGTGCTGGAAGAAATAATAGAACATGAAATGATGGACATTGGGCATTTTCTTTTATTGTAAAATTTCCCATCTTTTGTATTACTAATTTTGATGTTAATTTTATAGTTTTACTTTGCATTGAGAGTTTAAATCAAATGGAAAATTGCATAATGCTTTAAGGTTTGCAAAATACACATTATTTCATTTGATACAACCTCATGAAGCAGGTGGTATTAGGATCTATTATTAATATTTATTAATAATATACTTTACATTACAGGTATATTCACATGATTAATAGTGACATGTTAATAAAAATTAATATTATTTATTATGAGTATGTAGCTATTATTGGCATTATTCCCCTTTTCCAGATGAGGAAACTGAGACTGAGAGGTTAAGTGATTGTCCAGGGCCACACAACTAGTAAGTGTCTGAGGCAGGATTTGAACTCAGGCCTTCCTAACCTAAAATTCAGAGCTCTGTCTATTACAAATGTTTTCTTTTCCCCAAAACATCAATAAGCTTGCCACAGAAATCTAGACTTGGAGCTGTATATATAGCTTGCCGCCTTGCACAGTGATTGTGACTTTATTACAATTTTTGGTTTAAATACTATAGGATTACGAGTGTATAGTGGGTCTTTCTTAAATATTGAATTTTCTTAATCCTGTAGTCATGTTAAATTGCAGTAAGGTGTAAAGCAAATAGGAAGGAAAGAGTTTATTTTTAAATACCTTGAGATTTATTTTCTAATCCACTTTTAGTAGAATCATAGTCATCCACCAGTCTGCGATTCTTGGTTGAGTCTACCTCTTCCATGATCAATTTCTTATTATGTGGTGAGTTTTGTAATGATTTCCTTTCTTTCTCCTTTTTCTCTTTTTCTCCTATTGCCTTTAGCAGGTTCAAGTTATCAGAAGAATAATTTCTTTCCCCTGCCTTGTTTTCTGGAAGAAAAACCCCAAGTCCAGCATAATATTGTTATCTTTTAGATTAAGATCATCAGGATTCACATTATTAAATGATTATATATACAAATACATACATACATATATATTTTTACCTGGAGGGGCTATTTTCAGGATCTGATCTGTTTCTGCTTCAGCAATCTAATTGTGAAATAAACAAACAAAAAGGAAGTTGCAGTCATTGTTTATACAAATGCTACTATACTCTTAAAAAAATCCCTGGGAAGTTCACACATTTACACATTGGGTTCATATAATGCAGAAGATGATAGATTATGTCCTTAGCATTTACTTCAATACAAGTCTGTGTGCTTCTATCATTCAATATCCACACATTGCCAGAAATAAATTTCAGTCATCAAGAGATCTCATTTTAATTTGTGCTAAGGACTACTTAGTTCCTAAACTTTCTGATGTTATAATGACTATGATAACAATGCATTACAAGAAACAGTGATAAATAGAAAAAACCCCCCACGAAGTAATGTTTATAATTTTTCATTTGACCTACCTGTTCTTTCAAAGGCCTTTCTACACTTAGTTCTCTGTTGTGTAGAGATTTGTCTAGAATAAACACACACATTATATATAATTAATGGTGTTTTGAAAAGTCACAAGTATTTTAACTCAAATATGGATAGCAACAGCATTTTACATTTCTCTCATAAAAAGAATACTTTAAATGCTCATAAAATTTATGGGGGAGAGGAAACCATCTCTTTAGGATTTTAGTGGAGACAAATTGTACAATCAGAAAGATTGTCAGAATTTTTCTCTAGAATCTGTGTTTCCCGGATTTTCCTAGATTCATACTCTTTTCTGAATCCAATATACATTTTAAAAACTTGACTTAAAAGCCTTTCTAAAATAGCAGAAGCATAATTGGATTGGTAAAATTAAGAGATTAAAAGCTCTCTCCTGAACATGACATGGATGAAATATCTGGAAAATGTTGCAACACAAGTAGAAAACAAAACAATAGCGTGTGTGTGGATGGTAGTATTTTTTTCTTTTCAAAATAAGATATATGAATAAAATTTGAGGCTTAGGTGTATATCAAAACAGAGGCCCCCCCCTTGTTTTCTGCCTAATATACATGAATTTAGTCTGAACAGAAAGTGAAACATCAACGATTTTATTTCAAAGCTTTATCTCATAGTTAAAAAAAAAAGGAAAGGGAGGAGGTACACTACCTTGGATACCCTCCGGTTTGGGGAAAGCATGGATTTGGCTGAGGACAAGCGCCAGCACCTGAATCATTGTCCCCATCTGGAGAAGCCCCATTCTTACTCCCTGCGGAAACTGCTTGTCGTAGGGGTTACAGGCAACTGGCGTTGCTGAGAGAACTGCAGAGACCCACCCGCACTGGTAGCAATGCTTTTGTTATGAATGGAGAGGAGGAGTAAAAACAGGAAGAAGGAATGGAAAGGGAGGGAGAATAGACTGAGAGGAGGCTGTTCCGTTCTGCACCTGCCGGGGAAGCTGAAGAGAAGAAAGGGCTTTCCAAGATGCTGAAGTTGTCTGGAAGGACTGCTAGAGCGCTGTCCGCCCCTTGAGGTGCTGAAGTTTCTGGGCACGGGAGCTGGCGGAACTCCCCCAGCCTAGAATCAGTTTCCTAGGGCGTAGTCCGTACTTAGCTTCAGCGCTTGGAGGATGTGAAGAGAGGAGGCGCATGCTCCAACCAGGCTAGGGGCTGGAAAGGGAAGAGTCAGCCGACACCAGGACTGCTTCATTCCGAGTGAATGTACGGGGGAGGGGTGACGGAGTGAGTGCTTTTCAGTCAACTGCTGGTATGTTTCCAACTTCTTAGTAATAATGGCTGATATTTATTCATATATAAAGTATTTCACACACATCTCATTTGAGGTGTATAACAAACCTGTTAAGTAGGTAGCAGTGGGTTTTACTATCTCCATTTTATAGATGAGTAAACTGAGATTCAGAGAGGTTGATTTTTCCCAAGGTCAGAGCTATTTTAAGAAGGAGGATTTCAATTCAAGTCTAACTGACACCAGGTACAGCACTCTATCCACTATGCCATACTTCTTCAAACACCGGGAATCTTTCCCTATTCCCCATTTATCTGAGTTATCAGAGTACCCTATTGAGAAACCACTTTGCAGAGTCCCCAGCAATGGAGGGAGGAACATACAGCCCATCTTTTAGCACCCATACTGGACTCTCAGGTCCATCCAAGTAACTCTAGCTATGAAGAGCTCTTAGCTTTTGCCTACCCACTCATCCTCTGTCCCCCAATAATCTTCTGAATACCTGCTTAAGAGACACTTTCCCAGCCCTAAGATTTGATATAATTTCTCTCCCTTGGAAAATTCCTGCCTTTGAAAAGATTGGATTTGTATTTTAAGCCTTTTCCTGACTCTCTTATTTTTGCATTTCAGTACCACAAAGGCTTTTGCATTTAGTAGTCTGTGATACCTTTTTTCAGTGGCAAAAGTGTCATGACACAATTTCAATCTAACAAAAGCAAAACCTGAAATACATTTTTGTTTCCATATGGTAATAAGTATTCTTTCAGTAGCCCTCTCTGGTATGAGTAGCAACAGAATGCCAGAAGACTCTCTGAGAGAACAAATATGTAAGTCCTTGTGGGACATGCCTCCAAGGAATTCTACTGGAATTTAGGACCTGAATCCTTTGGAGGCCAGCCATGAAGAGAGGAAATAGTTGTAAAGAGAATATTCTATGGGAAGAAAGGGTGCAGTAGTTAGGGGCAAAAAGATTCTCTCTATATTATTTATGGGGTGCTGGGGTGCTTGTGTTTGGATGCTTGCACTTGTGCTTGGACCCCAATTTCTCCCTAGTCTCAGAAACACTGTCTCTGACAACCATTCCCTAGCCCAAGGACACTGTGCCTAGCAGTTATTCATGCGTGGGCCACAGCACAACCCTTATCTCTCTCCCTGGTGCAGCTACGCAAAGCTGCGTGACACAGTGCTGGGCTACTCAGGCCCCAGCCCTCAGATCATGTCTCTGGAAGCCTCCCAATTCCTTAGTAAGTTCCTGTCTTGTGAGAAAGCTTTCCCTTGTTGCAGAGCATTCTCTCATCAAGACAGAGGGAGAGGGGTGCCTTGCCCAGCCCATGGAGTTTGTCCTTGGCCAGCCCAAGGACTCTTCCTCCTGCCAGACTCCAAAGATCCATACCTCTGTCATCTCCCTCCCTGTCCGGTATATTCCCTGTACTTTCTCATCCATAGCTCCCAAACACACCTGGACCTTTAGATTACCTCGTCAGTGTCCCTGGCATTCCTTTCCCATGCCTTTTTCCATATAAACCCTAGCTCCATCCTCAGTCTCTCAAAGGTTCCTTAAGAATCCTTGCCCACTGAAAAGCATAACAATAAATCTTTGCCACCTTGACTTGAAGAATCCTTGAGTCTGTGAATTCATTCCAGATGACCTGGCCTGTACTCTGGTCTTTGAGGGGTCTCAGTCTCTCAGACCGCAACATTATTATATTTCTTCCCAGGTGTCTAGTATGGAATGCCTGAATAAATCAAGTTGCCAGTCTTAGAAATTACTTGCTGTGATTATTATGATTAAAATAACTCCACCCTTTTGGAGTTCTGTGAGAAACAGAACTCTTTCAACTAGCCCCAAATAAGAGGCAAGCAGACTATGATCAGGACTATGGTCAAGTTGGTTGACCACTGGATTTTTAGAGTTTTAATCTCCGGTAAAAGAAGGAGGACAAGTTGTACTGACTTTTGACTCAACAGCTTTCTTCTAGACCAGGAGTTCTAAACCTAGGTCTGTAGACCTCCAAGGGAGCCACAGACAGATTTCAGGTGTTTTTATAACTTGGATGGGGAAAAATTACGTCTTTATTTTCACTGATCTCTAACTTAAATCTGTTGTTTCCTTCAGTATTGAATGTGGGCAATAGAATGTTATTCTGAGGAAAGGTCCATAGGCTTCACCTGACCACTAAAGGGGTCCCTGACACAAAAACGGTTAAGAATCTCTGTTGGCTTATTTGGGAAATTTTGTGAAATGTTCCTTGCCCCGTGAATGTGTACAATTTTGGGTTTGGAGATAATTATGATTTTATCTATACATGGGGGTTTGCATGTGATATTTGAGACTATTTCGGGGCACTGAGGAAGCAAGTGAAAGGACATTGTTCATTACCCTTCCTCCTCCTGAGATCACAGAGAACTGAATTCGATTTGGGATGAGGACTATGTTTTAAAAAATGCACTCTTGATAATTTGCTGGGACTGAGAAGTTTCAAACAAAGGAACATATGTAACCTGGGCTTGTCTGGGCATGCCTAGTCCTCCTAATGTGGAGGCACCTTGAGGGGCCTTCAAAAGATATCCATATTGCCTAACATGGAGGCCTCTGTGTCTCCTACCACATGAATGGTATGGTCTCCTTTGATTGTCTGCCTTCATCTTTAAAACTGGAGAGACTGCCACTCTTTCCTGCTATGTGCAGAGGGTGATAGTCCCAGTTCACCCACAGCAGGGAAGCCATGGCTTCTCCCTCTTCTACCCTAGCTCAGAGAAATGGTCATGGGAGTGTTTGTTTCTGTTCTGTGTTGTTTGCTCTCTTTAGTTTCAGCTGTTAGAGCTCATTTCCACAGGACCAGGGAGTGGGAGCCATGACAAGCTTGGATTTAGGATTGCAGGTGGGATGGTACAGTCACACAGGTCAGCCTGGAAACCCTGAGAAGTCAGAATGTCAGGCACTTGAACCAGAAGCAGGTTTTGCGTCTGGAACTGAGTTCACACTCTATGAGAACTGAGCGAAGCTATGAATCTAATCCCTTTCCACTCCCCAGAGACTGAGGTGGTACAAAAAGAGGGAATGTTTTCCTTCCATATACTGGGGGAGTAAGTTTGTATATTTGTGACTATACCTTTTGAAATAAATATTTATGTATAAAAGCCAAAAAAAAAAAAAGGACTCCCTGTCCTAGACTCAACTCAGGTGCAATCTCCCATACGAGATCTATCCTGATCATCTCAGTTGCTAGTGCTCTCATACCAGAAATCACTATGTATTTTATATTTACCTTTCTATATTATATTGTTTTCCTCCAATAGAACGTAAGTTCACTGGGGACAGAGACTCTGATTTTTGTCTCTGTATTTCCAGTGTTTAGCACATACTAGGTACTTGAAAAATACTTGTTGAATAAATGAACACCCAGATCCTTATCCTTCTATGGAGCAGGTTGTTGGTTCAAAAGCTTTTATTTCCTCTTTACATATTTAAATATATTATGTGATAGCTTTTGAATTAGGAAACCAATGAGTGCTCTTTCATCAGCCTTCTCTGACGCGAGGAGCAAGAGAATGCCAAAAGACATTCTGAGAAAAGGGAATTGCTACCACAACCTTAAAAATGAACTAATCAAAAAGCAAACAATTGTTTCTTTTAAGTTAGGTACCCACATTTTTATGGTCTCAGCAAAGTGAGTTTTGATAGACTATTCTGGAAATCTAAATTGAGAGGAGGGCCAATCTGTAGACCTAAGGAGACAGCAATTCCATCATAATAAGAGCCAACATTTGTAGAGTGCTTTTATGATATGCAAAGCTCTTCTGATATATCATTTCATTTGATCCTTTCAACAGATAAAGAAATGAGACTCAGAGGTGCCAGGTGAATTTGCCCAACGTCTAGAAAGTGTTCATCAGATTCAAACTCAGATGTCTTCTGACCCTAAGGCTGCATTTTTTTTTTCAGATTATACCCTTTGCCTTTCCAGGAAAATCATGAAGCAACTATTGGAAGTTTCATCAAAACCCCAGGACTCTGAGGTTCATTCTTCTCTTCATCTTTATCCCTTTTGTGGTAATCTTATACTCTCTCAAAGCTTCAATTATTATCTCTATGTAAATGACTTCCAAACTTCTCTCCTATTGCTTCTCTCCAGAACTCAAATCCCATATTTTCAGCTAATGGCTGAATAGCTCCATCTGTATATCCTTCCAATGCTTTAAACTCAGTATTTGTGTAATTGGTCTCATTACAGGTACAGTGTGGTATAGTAGAATAGCATTGGAGTTGGAGGCAGAAAAGCCAAATTTTAACCTTGTCTCTAACACTTTCTAGCTGTGTCATCCTGGGTAACTCATGGCTACTTCATGCCTCAATTTCTTTATATGTAAAATGAATATAATAATATTCATAAAACCTGCCTTAAATGGTTGTTATGTTTATGCTTTGTAAACCTGCAAGAATTGCATAAATGTAAGTAATTATTTTTATCTTTCCCTCTAAACTTGCCCTCTCCCAACCTCTTAATTTTCGTTAATGAGACCAGTATCTATGTAGTATTTTAGATTCATAATCTTGGAACCATCTTCATTTTTTCCTTCTCTCTCACTCCGAATATCCAATCAATGAACAAGTCCTACCTTCACCATTTTTCTTTGTTTCTTATCAAAAGGGTCTCTTTAGCTTTGACATGTTATCATGAGGGATTAGCTCTAGGTGTTTATGGGTGCCAAGGAAAATATAAAGAAATGTCATTTTAAAACACTTTCCCTGCAACCACCCTAATTCAGGCTTTTATATTCTTTTGCTTAGTAATATCTTTCTAATGGGACATCTTACCCCTAATTTATCTTGTCTTATTTTTTTAATTTGTATTCCCAGAGCTTCACTCAGTGCTTGTCACATAGTAAGTGCTTAACAAATACTT